AAGAAAATTGCTAGCAAATAAAAATCAAGATTTAATTGCGATAATATTTCAGTTTTAATTGAACGTATTTTAGCATCATACAAGTATGTCGAATAAAATAATGATTAAATTGCACGATGTTTCAGATTTCATTTCGATTTATTTGGACAATAGAAAATTATGGAAAGCCTTGACTGTCTTATGATTGTAAAAATGAACGTTGTTGTGTCAATCTTTCTTTATACAATGTGCACTCATGAATATATTATGTGGATGTATCCTTATATGAATTCAACTGAACAATATATGATGTCAATGTGTCTTGATATGATGCCGACCAATCATTATACGATGTGCATTTATGAATATATGATGTGGTAGAATCTTTATATACAGTCAACTCATCAATATATTATGTCAATCTTTCATTAAACGATGTGCATCTATTATTATACGATGTGCATTTATGAATATATTATGTGGTTGCATCATTATATACAGTCAACTTATCAATATATTATGTCAATCTTTCATTATACGATGTGCATCTATTATTATACGACCGCTGCTTTATATGAAGTGCAAACATCATTATATGGTGTGCTTCTGTCATTATACTGATGGGGTTAAATTTACCGGGTTATATCTCACGATGCACCGTTCGTGTCAACAGCGGGAAAACTCGAAGTAAACTATATCATATAGTGTTAAGCTGACTCTATATAAAGACAATTCTGCATACTATAGTGTTGTTTTGACTCTATATAAGAATGGTTCCACATGATATACTCGTAATTGCACATCACATAATGAAAGACTGACATCATATAAGGACACGTGGACATCATATAATGTTAAGTTGACTCTATATAAAGAAGGTTTCACATCATATATTCATTAATGCACATCGTATAATGAAAGATTGGCATCATATAAGGACGTGTTGACATCATATAATGTTAAGTTGACTCTATATAAAGACGGTTCTACATAATATAATGTTGTTTTGACTCTATATAAGAATGGTTCCACATAGTATATTCGTAATAGTACATCATATAATGAAAGACTGACATCATATAAGGACATATTCACATCATATATTGTTAAGTTGACTCTATATAAGGATGGTTTCACATAATATATTGAAAAATGCACATCGTATAATGAAAGATTGACATCATATAAGGACGTGTTGACATCATATATTGTTAAGTTCACTCTATATAAGGATGGTTTCACATAATATACTGAAAAATGCACATCGTATAATGATAGAATGACATCATATAAGGACGCGTTGACATCATATAATGTTGACTCTATAGAAGAATTATTCCACATAATATATTCATAACTTCACATCATATAATGACAGTCTCACATCATATAAGGGCAGATTGACATCATATATTGTTATTTTGACTCTATATAAGGATGGCTCCACATAATATATTCAAAAATGCACAACGTATAATGATAGATTGACATCATATAAAGACACGTTGACATCATATATTGTTCAGTTGACTACATATAAAGATGGATCCACATAATATATTAATGAGTGCACATTGTATAAGGAAAGGTTGACTCAATATATTGCTATATGGACATAACAACGTTTAGGTTTATAATGATAAGACAGTCAAGGCTTTCCATAGAAAATAGTTCATAGCATTATCGTCATCAAAAAGAAACTATAACTTGTTAACCGGTTAAAGCTTTTCTTCGGTATCGCATATTCTCGATAACGCCTGGCATACCTCAGTAAATAACAACGAGGACATCAGTGCATCTATCACCGCAGATTCCAACAAGAACATTCTTCGGCCTTCGCCATACCGATGGTGTTCAGCAGTGTTTGCAGCATAATACCTTTTCCCTTGCAGTCGTCATTTTTAACAGCACCAATATTCTTCGGTTGGTTGAGAAGAGATCGAAAATCCACCCCGCTTAAGGACGGCAAAAGAGTGGTTCACACCATCAACTTGCGACAAGGAACAACTATGAATGCGGAATGTCACGCTGATCGAATAAAATGACGACAAACTAGATAGAACGTATGAAGTATATCAATGTATGTTTTAATTTCACCAGATTTAATAATGTTATTGTATACAGTTGAAGAAAATTCTTTTATTTAAACAAAATCTCATTTTCATATTAAAGTTTATTGAAACATATTTCTACACAAAACAACCATTCAGAAAACAGAGTCATTAATTATCACGTAATTTCATCTGAATTCCTAAAACAGTTCATTTCTTGTAAAAATTAATAGAAAACTAAGTTATTGACAAACATGTTTCTTCATCTTAGAATCTATAGAATAATTACATGGTACAACCGGTTTAAAAAAAAACCATTGAATTGCTAAATAATTGTAATAGTGAGATTTGACGCACAATTTTAAAAATGTTATATATCCCAACTTTTTTTCATCTTAACATTCAAAATAATGCAACAGTTATTTCTTACTCACATGTAAAGAAAACAGAGTCATTAATTACAACGTTATTTCATCTAAATTCCTAAAATAATTGCAACATTAAATTCATGTACACATTTATAGTAAACTAAGTCATTCTTCATATGAATATTTTTAAATAATTGTAATATTGAGCTTTTTCACACATTGCCAGGAAACAGTTTCATTAATAACAAAGTCATTTCATCAAGAAATTTCTAAAACAATTACAAAAGATAGCTTTGAAACAGAGACAACAATAGTGACGTAACTTCATTTGAATTTTTAGAATAATAACAACATTCAATTCTGAGACACGTTAAGCGAGAAAGGCGTCATGTGTCAGACATTATTTTAATCAAAATTGCTAAAATAATTGCAAAAATTGCTTGACGCACATTTATAGAAAAAGAGTCATTTATCCCAACGTTTTTTCATCTAAATAACAAATAATGCAACAGTTTTTTTACTCACATGTATAGAAAACAGAGTCATTAATCACAACGTAATTTCATCTGAATTCCTAAAATAATTCATGTACGCATTTATAGCAAACTAAGTCATTCTTCATCTGAATATTTTTAAATAATTGTAACATTGAGCTTTTACACACATTGCCAGAAACCAGTTTCATTAAAAACAAGGTCATTTCATCAAAATTTCTAAAATAATTACAAAATATAGCTTTGAAACAGTGACAATAATACTGACGTAATTTCATTTGAATTTTTAGAATAATTACAACATTCAATTCTGAGACACGTTAAGCGAGAAAGGCGTCATGTGTCAGACATTACTTTAATCAAAATTGCTAAAATAATTGCAAAAATTGCTTGACGCACATTTATAGAAAAAGAGTCATGTATCCAAACGTTCATACAAAATAATGCAACAGCTATTTCTTACTCACATGTATAGAAAACAGAGTCATTAATTACAACGTAATTTCATCTGAATTCCTAAAATAATTGCAACATTACGTTCTTGAACTTATTTATAGCAAACTAAGTCATTCTTCATCTTCATCTGAATCATTTAAAAAATTGTAACATTGAGTTCATACGTGCACATGGACAGGAAAGAGAGTCATAAATTACAACATAATTCATGTATCAGATTATTACATCAGCATTCATAAAACAATTGCAACATTTATTTCTTTCACACATTTCTAGAAAACAGAGTAACACATGATTTCATCTGAATTCCCAAAAAATGATTGCAACATTTAGTTCTCATACAAATCTTTAGAAAAAAATGTCATATTTTAGTAAAAACGTGTTATAAATTACGAAATAAATTCATCTGAATTCCTAAAATAATTACAATAGTTAGTTCTGACACACATTTATAGAAAACAGTCTATATAACGACATCTGAATTCCAAAAAAATATTGCAACATTAAGTGCTGACATATTGCTATAGAAAATAATCATTAATATTCTCGTTTATATCTGAATTCATACAATTATTGTAACATTTATTTTATTCACATATTCATTGAAAATAGAGTTATTTTTTACGACTTAATTTCAACTGAAGTCCTGAAAATCTTGAAAAAGGAATATCTGACACACATTTTATAGAAATAGACAAATGAATAAAGTATTTTCATCTGAATTCCTATAATAATTGCAATGGTTAGATATTACATATATTAATTAAAAACATAATCAATAATATCAAGTAATTTCATCTGTATTCCAATAATAATTGCAACATTGCGCACATACACATATTAATAGAAAAAAATCATTAAAATTACAACGTTATTTCGTTTGAACTGAAAAAGTATTGCAACCTTTTGTTCTTTCACACAGCTATTAAAAACTGAACCTTTAAATATCATCTCAATAACTTATTTCACTTGAAGTCATAAAAAATTACAAATTGCACAAAGTTAATAAAATCAGAACAGAACAGAAGTTTATTCAGCAAAATTAACTTTAACATGTCGCTTCATCGGCATTACAAGTATACAATTATTTGCATATAATATAGTACAATGCTTATAAAGATAACATTGCCTTGCTTAAAAGCTTAAATACAGAAAATTGATAGTCTATATTATTACATATAACAACCGAATTTTAAAAGTTCTATAAATTATGCCAGACTTGGGCATGTATTACCAATATCTAGGAATATACTGCATTCCTAAAATTCTATTTACATGACATATATGATATCGTTATATGTTAATCATCTTCTATAACGATTGTTTCACACAAGTTATATTTCAGTTCATTCAATATGTTTATACTTTCCCGTTTTATTTAATTGGTGTGTTTAAAGTAATTTAGCAGTAATATTTCTATCTTTTACAAAATTTCTAAATAAGGTGAAAGTTGAGAAATACGTCGTAAATACGGGATTATTAATCAACAATATTTGTAGAACAAAATAATACAGAATCCGGTCAAAGCATAAACAGTAAAACATACGTACATGATACGTTTTTTAAAGAACACGCGAGTTGGATTGAGACTAAGAAATGCTCACTTTATATCATTAAAATGATAGACGATGCACAGTTTCAGAGCCTTTCATTCAAACATACACTATATCTGAATCTTTTAGTCTTTCATTGCACACAATTTCTTCAAGGGACTCCACTGAGGCTGAAGAGTCTTAAAAACATAATATTTGAATTTCTTACATAAATAAGCTGGGGCACTTAAAACAAAAATATATGCAAAGATCGTGAAGAACTATAATTTGAAAATCGTATGTTAATGCTTATTTTAGCCCGATTTGAGTGAAAAGCGTTTAAACGCCTTTCATTTTGGGTCATTCGTTTACAATTTGAATAATTATTTTGGAAAAAAACAAGTACGCGAATGATCTGAAATTTTGCACAAAAATTAGTGATCTAAACCTACATTAAATGGCACATTTATCTGGAAAAAATATTTTCAGTCCCATTCATGTCAAAAAACCTCAGCGGAGTCCCTTCAGAATTCACAAAATAATTGAAATATTTTGTAAAAGGAAACATAGTTAATAATAACTATGTAATTTCATCGAATTCAATAAATAATTTCAACATTTGATTCTGAAAATAAAGTCAATGAACATACTATTTATCTGAATTAGATGTCTTAAGCTTCATATAATGTGCAATGATACATTATTTCATCGGAATTCAGAAACTTTATTGCAATATTTTAGCGGAAAACCTCTTATCATCATTTTCGAAGATTTTAATAATTTTGTTGCCCTTTAAACCTCTGTGGTAGAATCCTCCCCCGGGTCCGTATTTACCGTTCAAGTTGATGTCCCCACATGCTTTATCCTTATACCACCAGCCACCTCCATAGATCCCAGAACAATTCTCGAATGTGTCTTGGTCGAATATCAAAAATGGGACACCGCTGATTGAGAGAAGATGAACATTTGCTGTCTCGTCTAAATCTGTAATTTCAAAATTTTAAATGCAGGTAAGTCCAACTACCAATTATATATGATTCATTATCTACTCTAATTTCAAACTAAACTACACAGCTTGGGAGAAGTGAGTTGACCGCGGACGTATTTTCAAATGTGATCCTTGACGAGTTATACGTTACGACGTTGTTGTTGTTTTGCTGTTCAATTACTTTACCGTTTTTATTCTGAAGAAAAAGGTGCTGCTTTATTTATAATGGGAAATATTGTACTTCTGCTTTCAGGACCCCTTTTTATCCCTATATCTATGACAGTAATTTTGTTTCTGGTAGTATGTTTCACGCTTTCAATATATGCGTTAGTATTGCCAGTGATTTGAAACGTTGCGTCAGTGTGTTTGGTAACATGGTACATTTTCATGAAAACATTGTAGTACTGTTCGATTGATAATTTTATAAAATAACGTTATACAAACACATACCGTATTTCGACAGTTACGCTTTATTACTTTTTTCCTGCAAAACTAGAAATGTTATAGTTTGTCAAGATAAAGTTTAGTATACTTCGTGTCGCGGTCGTTTTCCAATCGGGTTGTATGATTTACTTCATAGCCTAATTATTACACCAGTTCTCGACAATCTAAGCTGATAATGTTTAGTCCTATAATACAGAACTAGTTTGTTAAAACTGTGATAGTTCATGATTTACAGTTATATAATTTCAGGAAACAGAAGAAAATGTAGATAAGTGAATTATCCTGATAATAAAAGTTTTGTACTGGATTGAAATAAAAAAAATCATAACGATGATGCTCTATAAACGTTTTAAAGTAAAATATATTAAATAAAGGTAACAAGAATTATTTATATTTCATTTTTTTATTATTTACATTATTTATGTGATCAATTTTGCTTACCGAGCCAAAATTCACCTTCCAAGTTGCCAAAGCCATTCTCATAGTCTATAAGATTTCTTACAAAATCAACAGAACCATCAAACCGGTTTTGAAATACCTTCAGTATTGAGAACATAATCAATTATAAAAAACTTCAAAGTCCTTTGATTACATTAATAGGTGTCGCAAATATTGTTGCTCATAATAAAGGTGTTTAAAGAAGAGTCTAATAATAAGCAAAAAGTGAATGAAACACCTTAAACACCTTATCGTATTCGTTTAACTATAGCTATTCGACATTAAAGTAAGTCTTTTATTGAAGGTCAATTAACATACCGTCCAGCCACCTCCATCTGTTGTCATATCACAGAACGCATCTACCGAGCTCTTAGCAAAGTTTGGAGTAATTATATAAACTCCACTTTTTGCTTGTTTGTTTTCTTCCAATACTTCCGTACAGCTAATGTGATAGTCTTGTATAAGCGGAAAAAATAGAGAAAACATCAATTATCATTCACTACATAATTTATATTATTTGTTTCGTATTAAATGCAATATGAAAATGAATAAAATATTAGTCAATAACTAAAGATGTATGAAGTGGAGTAAAGTATAGTAAATTTCATATTTTAATTGCAAGATATTATCATTAATAAAACTCATCTAATGAATAAGATCCCGCTTCTGGACTTTCAAGCATTCTTTAACCGGAATTTACAAAATCTTGTAATGATGTTCACATTTTATTATTATTACTATCTCAAGCTCCTTGCACCAGTCACGTGATCAGGAGAATAAATCTCTCGTGAGAGTTTGTTATGGATTTTTCTAAACGACTTGCTTTCAAAACTTTTTATCACTTGATTCAAAATGCAACCTATATAAATTTTATAACTTCAAATCACTAATTTTTGAACATGAATTTTGAAATTTATTCATACATTCATAAATAAATATACATTCAACTTGTTAGATTAATGCAGAAAGGAGTCCAGTTATGTTAACAACTGTTGAAATTTGCAATGTAATACATATAAAGTTAGATGCATGTTATACGAAACAAAGTATGATTATATTGAAATAGCTAGCATTTTTTAAAATATCTTCTGACGAAGCTAAACCCTGTCCCCGTACATGGTTAATTTTGTAGCGTCTCACAAAACATGATGGCTTGTTAGTTTGTCTGGCATAAACTCAACCCACAGGAGGAACATGTTTTATGTTCGCAATCTAGAATTGCCTAGGATATTTTAAAGATACGAGGGGTGTTCTAAAATTAATGTTACTTTCGTGTTCTCTTTTAGATATAAGTCGTTAAGATCATTTTAACTTGCCCTGCCCTTCAAAGTACCCCCCCCCCTATCCTATAGCACGTTTTTCAGCCGATCAATCCACTTTCTTGAAACAGTTTTTAAACTCTTCAATGAGTAAGATAATAGTAAATGGCAGAGCAAAGAGCATGTCTTGATTTGTATTTTTTTCCAGACAGGTATTGACAGGTGGAACAAGAAATAGTCACAGTGGCTAGGTCTGGTGAAAAAGCGGGGTGGGGGAGGACATTGACCTTTTTCGCTTCAAATACTCCGTTGCAATTCCTGCTTTGTGAGCTGGGGCAATGTAGGTCTGAGGTACTTCAAACCTGTTTGTAGGCGGCGGCGTTTATAGTGTTTTATAAGTTTGAGAAGTACACTTGCCTGTGACAGTTCTACCTTTCGGCACAGGAATTTGCACGACTGGACCCTTGTTATCAAAGAATATTACATAAAAAACCTTTCTCACGATTCGTATTCTTTTATCAATGGTAGGGCACCATGCGTTTTGGTGTCCCAGATTTGATTAGATCATTTTCGTTTGGGTTCGAAAAAATACACCCATGTTTCGTCACCTGTGACCAAATTGCCAAAAGCCTTTTTGCTGTATTTCGGGTATATTTTCAACAAAAGTTTAGCCTTTTCAACACGGACCTCTTTTGGTCGTCAGTTAGTAAATGTGGTATCCACCTGGCATTAATCTTGCAAAGCCATGGATGTTTTTTCAAAATTCAATGAACACGTGCTAAAGGCCAGTTTGTCATTCTAGCTAACTGCCTGACAGTGTACCTTGGTCTTCAGGATTTGTCGAATTATTTCAATGTTATGTTTAGTCGTTGTAGTTGCAGGGCGGTCTGTGCGAGCAGCATCTTTCAGCTGCTGGTGTTTCGACTTCAATCGACAAATCCACCTACAAACGACATTTTACCCTCCTTTTACATAACACACACCTCGCGATGAATATCCTTAGGCTTTAAGCAGAGATAGGCCCTAATTTCAATTTCAATAATTTTCAGCTCTCTTACCAAATATATTTGTGTGAGTGTAACGAGTTCGCTGCAAAACAATGTAAACAGTACCAAGGTTATGGTAATTGTGAGCGAGATATTGACCAAAACTACTTTCCAGTTATCGACATGTATTGGATTTGAGTTGATATAGCACGATCTCCACGAGATAGAACCCGAGTAACATTAATTTTTGAACACCCCTCGATGTCCGGGATGATACAATTTTCTTTATTTTAGCCATTTAAATTAAGCCCTATCTGCCTCAACACACTTTTTACAACAGCCTACCAAATACATATATTTGAAGAGGACATTGGAAAAGCGCAAAGAGATTCAAATAGGCATCCTGTTTTGATTTCGTTTAGCTTGTAAGCAACAAAAATCACAGGTAACAGGTAAGAATTTGTAAGGATTTTTTCTCTTTTATTTTTCAATCATAATATACAAACATTCGGATCATAAAGAATCAGTACATAAATGATGATTACATATGTAGACTTATTTTTCCTTACATCCAACAAGTATATGGCATTCCCTAAAATAGTTGATATAAGACCCTGACAAATGTATAGACTGTAAATTTAAACTCACTGTATAACTTGAAGAAAAACGGTTCTTTTTTTGTGCTTAATGTAATTTAACACTTTCCACTTATAAACATACACATATAAATATATACATACATGTATATGCATTAAGATTGTAAGTTTGGTTTGTGCAAAAATATTTTTTGAACATAATATATTGTATTATATTTTGAATATTATCTTTATCTGTTAATTCAACAATCTGTTATTGTCACTTAAGTTTCTTAGATTTTATATCAGACCATTTATGTCTTTGTACGTAACCTTTACATCGCATTGAAATGAGTATGGAAATTTGCACTTTAAATGATAGAGGTTTGGGAAATTATTAAAAATGAAAGCAAGCATTCAAATGGCTCCAAATTTACATAAGTATGATAAATGTCTTTTACAAGTCACACAAAACAAAAGCTTAAATGGACTTTAGCTTGGGTTGGAGGTTTTTTTTCAGTAGAAATGTTTACAATGGTGACGTCGTATGGTTCTTAATTCCCATCATGTTTGATAGCGTAACATATGCATAAATAGTTTATGGGATATTTATTGCAATTGAGTTTGTAAAAATGAGATTATGTCAATACTTGTATATGTGTATAGTTAGACAAAATAATGAAAGAAAGGATGGACACAAAAAATATAGACAAAAACTAAAGGGTATGACTTAAAAAAATAGCTTTTTGATATTTGGATAATTAAAAACCCTTATAAATGTATTCAGATGACAAAACCCACTGTATTCTGTATCTTTTATTTCAGAAACTCTAATCAATAATATACGCTTATGTTAAGGTTGAAAATGTGTATAAATGTGACTACTCAAGGTACACTTTCCTCCAACAAAAAATCATAAAAAGGAAAGTTTGTTACTGTAAAAAATGGATACAAAAAAGTTGTGCGAAAAGTCATTGAAGTAAAAGGAAATGAAACGAAATATTAGAAACAATTAAAATGACAAATCAATGTTCATTAGTTGTAAGATTACAGATTGTTATTTAAAAGACATTTGTAAATGTGTGTTTTTTTTTTTTTTTTTTTTTTTTTTTTTTTTGACTTAGCGCATTAAAATTTATATTAAAAACTTCGGATATTACTTTGTTTAACATTATGCAACCCTTTGAAATATATAGCTAATTCAGTTCAACTTTACAGACAAAAAAGTTTATCCATGAAATACTTCTGTTTATAGTTTGGAATTATTTTAAGGTTTTATTCTGCCCAGTGATAAGAGTTCTTTCACTTTTAGAGGTAAGCAAAACCTTATTTTTGCTTCAACGGTATAGTTTACACCACATATGTCTGTCGTACCATTTATCATTATTTTCGCTTTCATGTGATCCTTACATTATCTCATTAATGAAGGAATCCAAAGCCCACATTGTTCGCGAATAAAAAAAGTATCAAAAATACTAACGACGGCACATTTTTTCCGTCTGATGCGCTATCCGACTCCATGTAGTTCGAATAAAGAGGAAACTTTATTCATGATTTATTGTTCGTTCAATAAGCTACAAAAGACATGTAAATCGTCATTGGCTCAGAAAAGCAATATAAATGAAATGACGAACGTGCACGTCACGTTACTAATCGTACATCCTGGAATTGGAGATCGTTTCATAAACAAATATGGATAGGTTCCATCGTGATGCATGTGTGTGGAGCTACATTGCAACCCCTGATAGACTTACTTGATGATCTTATCTTAGTACTCTTAGAACAAACAAGGTTGCATTTGTGAAAACATGCTTTGCAGACGCCTTAATACAACACTTAATCGTAGGAACAGATGTTAATTTTTTGTTTCTATACCATTGAAATTTACCATAATTAAGTCGTGTCTAGTGTATTGAGTATTAGTGTTTGAATTTTTTTTGTACATTAGGAAGGCAATATATAATAATTCTAGTTTCTTTGAACTACAATGCTCTATATTCCGATGTTTTGTAAAACCACCAAGGATATGATAAAAAGCACTAGAAAGTCAGAGGAAATAACACCATTTCAACCTCACATTTTCAAAAATGTTCTCGGTCATGGTGAGAGGTTATTGAGAAAATTGGTTGATATTTCTTCTCTCATGAACTTGGAAAATAAAATGGTATTGTATGAACTTTGTATATACCATTGTTTGAAATGGAACATTTTGAACAAACAATAATATTTTAATTAACAGATCAGGAAAAATAAACACAAATTATTTTTTCAATTATATCTGTCATAAAAGCTCATTTTTTTCAAAAATGAACTTAAGAACCTAACCAAAAGCTGTTGATGGAATATTGATCTCTGCCGACGTCCTGATCTATTCCTGCGTGCCTATACTGGCATCAACACAATTTATTTAGTTCCGGTATGAAGAGGTTGCGAGGCAGTTGTGTTGCATGAGCACATCTTGGTGCATTCTGAAGGATCATAAACGTTTTCTGTAGAGAAAAAGAATTTTGCTCGGTTTGCATGCA